CAGTGCGTACCTATATGCTGTGACTCACTCAAGAAGTTGATACCTACCCCTGTCAACCGAGTGATGTTCATGAAACCTTCGGTCATGGATCCAAAAGAACCGAGAAGACGCAAAACGGTTCTTGATGCTGAAAGGAATGATCGAGGACTATGGTCCCATTTCATAGGGTCATAGCCTCAAAGGGGGGATTTGATGTAATCTTTTTATGTAATCTTTTTTATGGTATATCTAGCTTTTGCAAACTATATCTAACTACATACTTAAGGCAACTTGCAGATGCTGGGAGGGGTGTGGTATGTGTGTGTTAAGAGATGCTTGCAGAGCACAGCGTGTGGGATGCGGAGGATTCCTGGAATGCCTCCCTAACACCAGCAGGATAATGTCTCCCTGACACTTGTAAGATAGCAAGAAGTTCAGAAAAAGGTCTCATTATAATGCTAAAAATCACACCCCTGGGCAGGGAAAAAGTATGTTAATGAAACATATATGTATGTAAATGAAATACATGGCTAAAACATAGGTATAGAGACATGCTCAGTAGAGAACGTCTTATGTCAGTGGCTTGTAACCAATCACTGAGCGATACACTTGCAAACATATGTATAAAAGATACCCAAAGGTAGAAACCAGTGGTGCTTGCTTTGCAAACGATTGCCAAGCACCCCTCTCTGCGCAGACTGGAAACAATAAAGATTAAGTTGGATCCTCCACCCCTGTGTGTTCATTGGCAATAGCGCACCGGGCACGAACTCACACTGTCCGTTGGGGACAACACTTTCGGTAGCCAGTCCAGCTGCAGGGAACGGGGACAGTCACACGAGCCAGGGATAAGGCAGGCGCTTGGCCCACCCCAGGTGCCTGATCAGCGGCCCCGACGCTGGGTTTGCTCTAGCAACGAGCGAGGGCTGGGAGGAGGCCGGATTGCCGCCCTGGACCTGCGAAGGAGACAGGCCCGGGCAGGGGGTGGGGGCGACCCCATCTGCCTTCAATGGCAGAACCAGCTCGGCACAAGAAAGGCTGGGGCCCGGCGGCAGGCGAGGGAGGGAGGGGAGTGCAGGCCCCACTGCAGAGCCCTCCCGCCTGCGGAGATGCGCCTGCCGCTCCCTCCTCCCCAGCATTTACATTCCAGGGCCGCCCGGCTCCAGCTGCTGCCCAGCACATCTGGCCACAGCTGGCTGCGCTCCGCGCGGGGCGGGGCAGAGCCGCAGTCGCCCATTGGCTCCCCCGCTCGGGACTCTCCGCGCTGCC